GCCCTGCGAGCCGGGCGGTGGGCCGTTACCGCGGGCAGGGGCGGCAGCGCCCCTTGGCACCAGCACCCTGTCGGAAGGGATCAGCTGCCTTCCGGCCGCGTCGACCCCCGCCAGCCGTTTCCTCGCCATTGTTAGAGCAGGGGAAGGGCTAGTCTGAAGGCTCCTGCGGTTGGCAGAGGTTGAGGTAGCAGGAGAGGTCGTGAATCTATCGTTTTCTGCTCACGTTTTGAAATAACGATGGCACCAACAAACCTATTGCGGACAGTTCATAGTGGCTTACACTTTCTAACTTACAGACAGAGGCTTCGTTGAGTCACAGAAACTAGACTTTGAGGCAGGGTTGACAAGTGTTTAAGAAAAGTTATTAATGAGAAGTATATTAAGATGACTTTCAAGACTAGATGAGATTGCATAGGATTGTTTGGTTGTTTTTTTCTTTTGTGTAATCTGTTTTTTATTGAGCTTTGCTACAGATCTGCTGGAGTGCCTTGGTCTTAGCATTGCTTCCTGCTAACCACCCAGACTGTGAGGGATGAGTGATGGTACCTGATGCTGTAACTGATTACCTGGACAGAATTTGGGATTTAGCTTTGAGGTTGACTTTTAAATTTGATGATTTAAGAGAAGCTGACCATTATATCTCAGTTTAATAAAGTTCCCAAATAATTGACAGTGTTAAAATAAAATATTCAGTACTAAGTTTTATGTAGAGACTTTCTTGAGTGTGTTTTTTTTTTTGTGTTGTGGTTCACTTTGTTGTTGGGTTTTTTCTACTTTTGAGTGATAGACACACCATTACTATAAAACCACTGTTGAAACACGATGCTGTTGTGTGACGTGTAACTTTTGGTCACTGCCTCTGAACAGATCCAACTTGCACGGCTGTTAGCAAGTTGTAAACTTTCATATCTTATTGTCTGGCTCAGGCTCTTTAGTTGCTCGGTTTTGTCTCCTCCTAGGGCTTATCTTTCTCACAGAGGTAAGGAGCATAAGATGACTTTCTGTGCTTCTGTAGTTTGATATCCGTTGCTGTTGCTGGACTAAGCGAATGAATGTACATGTACAAGCAGCAGAGCAGCACAGTGCTATTTGCTAATTTTTTAATACCTGAAAATCTTCCTGAATAAAGGTTATGTTTTCAGAGATATCTTATGGTATGTCTTACAGGCAAGATCTCACACTAGAAGTTTCTTGAACAGTTTCCAAAAGAAGGCCCAAACCATTCAGTGCATCATAGTAGTAAACAACAGAGACTAAACCTGCCTGTCATGACTTTTACTATCTAATGTGAAATATTTCAACTTTTAACTACTGAAATGTTTCCAATTTCAGCTTATACTTGGCCTATTTCAATTATAAAAGCATGATTTTTTTTTTTAAAATAAATGATCTGGTGGATTTATCAGGTGAAATCCTATTTTCTCAAACATTAGTGGGTCCAGTGCTTGACTCAAATGAGGTTAGTTCTTACTCAGTACATCATTCACTGTTGTATACACAGAGATAACAGTAGATGTAAACACCTGGAACTTTTTCATCCTAAATTGATCTCTTTGGCTAACTGGATTGATGTCCTTGTTTTCTTGAACATGCTCCAATTTACCCCCCCTCTTTCTAATAGTTTCCCAGAGCTGAGTGCAGTGTTTCAGGCATAGCTGCACCCAACTTGTGCCGAAAGGCACAACAATCTTGAGACCTAACGTTTCTCCGTGTGCAGGCTGACCGGTCTCTTGAAGTGAGAGTTGTGCCTTCTGTATGCTGTATGGCTGCCTCCTGAGCCTGGTTGAGAGAGACTTAGAAAATAGTGATGCAAGCATTGACAAATTTTTTTCATCTTTTCTTGTATGATATTCTGATATGGCAATCTTCTGAGCAGAATTAAAAAGAAAGAGGCTCTTTTCCCACCATGTGTAGCTACAGGTGGCAGTAGTCTGCTTTTGTTACCTCCTCTTGATGAGGATTACATTGTACATGAGAGAATTGCAGGTAGTGGCTTGCTGGGAGCACTGCCTTACAGCACGTGCGAAGTAAATTTTTTAGTTTACTTTGAATAGGCCATATCCTGAAAACTCCGACTTATTTCAGAGAACAGTTATTAACAGATACTGTTTGACTCTATTTTGGGTAGTAGAACTTTTCATTGATAATTTGGAGTTTAACTTACGTGAGGGTTCTTACTCAGGTAAGAAAAGGCTGAAGTTATGCACAACCCTTGACTGCAGCTTGAAAGCAAACTACCTTTGTCAGCTGTCTTCATAAATATCTAGATGTCAGGAGTTCATATTTATTTGTTGAAGTGTTGTTGGAGGCCAAACATCTCAGATAGCTTGTGGTTGGTGAATGCAATGAAGAGAACTTCAGTGTTGTTGAATGATGCACACTTGCATTTCATAGGCTATTTTTAGTTAGGGACGTAATGGTTTGTTTTATACGTCAGGAGAATGTTGTGTATGCATGTAGGATTTAAAAGTGTGGAATTAGCAGGTGAAATCAGTAATGCTCTCTGTAGACAGACTGAGAAGGACATAACCATGGAATATCCTTTTATGATCCAGATGCTTGGTACAGCATGTCATGTATCTGATACAAAGCAAGGTAAAATGTCTTTCCTTTAATTCAAAAAACCTAATTGCTTTTTGCCTGAATATTGGATTTTGATTGACCATGTAAGGGAGTTACTTTGCCTAATTTTACTCCCCCCTTTTTTTAAGGATGTATCCAAGTTAGTGACTTTAGTCTTGCTTTTCAGGAGTGTAACAGAAAATACAGTAACTTTGAGCAAACTGTCTGAGAAACCGTTTGAACTGTGCTGTGACTCTGATTAGAATTGCAAAGCTGACCAGATAAATTTTAAGTTATAAAATTAATACTTAGTGTAAATTTCAAAGTGTCAGTGTTCTTGTGACTACAGGTGAAGCTTAAATTTGTCCTCTTTCAGGATGCTTACTGCAGGTGATTCCTGTAAAATTAAAAATCAAGGATGTAAGGAATCTGGTTTGCATAACATTTAGTTTGGGCATAATAAAGGATTATAGCAACATGGATTGCTTGCATTAGATAAAACTAAATCATAAAGGTATAGAAAACTTTTAGAAACAGCATTGCTTTGACCCAATAGCAGTGTTGGTGTCTTTGTGCTTGTGTGTCAGTGAATGACTCAGCTGTTCACCTTTGTACTGTCAACCATAGTTGAACACTAAATGTATCTTCCCAGCTAAACAGAAACAGTTAACTCAAAAGCCTCACTTCTACTCTGATTATATTAGTGTTATAACGTGTAAACTACCACATCTAGGTCTTCATTTGACAGCTCAGAGGAAACAATGAAATTAGTATATTTGTGATACATGAAACTATATGAAGATTCTATGAGAACATATAAATATTTTAAAAGGTTGATAAATCCAAAGATTGTTCTTTTAAATTTTAGAACTATTATGTCATAAATTTAAAAAAAGAGTATGTTTTCATTTGCATATGTATTGTGTTCCTCTGAGCAAGAGAACAGCAATGTAGTGCTTTTCAAGCAAGTCGGTGTCCTTTTTCTAACACACGCAATCCTCTAGTTGACTTTGGTGAAAGAACTGTATGTAGTAGGAGTTCTTTGGTAGATCTCTCCCCAAGCACCATTCAACAATCTTCACAAAAGCGTGAGGTTCTTGTCAGGGTCATTCTGTGTCCTGAGACCTACTGCTCTTCTAACAGCAGCTGTTCTAACAAAATGCTATTCAGAGCCTAAAATACTCCCCCCCGCCCCCGCAATGTTAGTTTAGCATACTGCTTGATTTATTTAACTACTACATACTGTGCTAGATTAGCAGCCCTTTTCCTTCTATGTGGTAGGTCAACAGTGCCTCCTAAACTGCTAAGTATGTAGTCATCTTAATTGGTAGAAGGTGGAGATAGGGTACTGAATCAGCAATACAAGCACTGGATGAGATTTGTTTGAAGAACTATTATCTGCTTTGTTTTTTTAATGTAGCCTGCTATTAGCCTACAGTGCCAGTCCCTGAATCCGGACAGACATTATGCTTAATAGCAAGTGAAGTCCAAGTGAAAGAAAACAGAGCAGGTGATACTGAAATAAATGTGTACTTTGGGGTATTTGCTCATAACATGGAATGGGTAAAGGAACATCAAATTCCACCTCCGAGGACTTGTAATCTGATTTAATAAGGCTAAATTTTGGATATGTTTCTGTCTCCCTAGAACCAACAGCCAACATGTCTAGCAAAAGGGCAAAGACGAAGACCACCAAGAAGCGCCCTCAGCGTGCCACTTCCAATGTATTTGCAATGTTTGATCAGTCGCAAATTCAGGAATTCAAGGAGGCCTTCAACATGATTGACCAGAACAGGGATGGCTTCATTGACAAAGAGGACTTGCATGATATGCTCGCCTCCCTTGGTAATGTCACTTTTCTGTTTATGTTTGCCAAACAAATTTGTGCTGTTATAATTAAAATAATTGAGTTTGGGATGGCTTATGAGAGATGTCTTAGTTTGTATTACACTATTCAGATTACTTTTTCTTTTAGTTTGAAAGCTAAACCAAATATGAATCCCTTTATTTGTAGGAAAGAATCCAACGGATGAATACCTAGATGCCATGATGAATGAGGCTCCAGGCCCCATAAACTTCACTATGTTCCTCACAATGTTTGGTGAGAAGTTAAATGGCACCGATCCGGAGGACGTAATCAGGAATGCTTTTGCTTGCTTTGATGAAGAAGCAACAGGTATGTGGGTACAATAACAGTGTACATGTATTACTTCTGCTTAATTTTCTAACAAATACTTGTATTTGTACAAGTGGTGATGAATTTAACTCCAAAAGTTCTGATTCCTGCAAACTAAAAATCATGCCATGTTATCTTCAGCAGCTGAAATTACCTTTTCAAACACTATAAAACTTAAAATCCCAAACTTCTGGCACCTGTATTGTTCGAGGCAGGAGAAAGGAAAAAAAGATGATGTTTGGGAACCAGGATCTTGCATTTTTCCTAACTTAAAATTCACCTTTAGGGCAACTTTTTGTAAGGGGAATCCTCATCATCAAAGCTGTTGTGCTTTTATGAAGAACTTATTTTCTGTGAGCAACTTGTATCTACCTTTCCTCTGTTAAGCTGTGCTTAAAGGAGAAGAAAATCAATACAAGAAAAACCTTGTGTGACTCAGAAGAGTGCTGATAGAATCACAAGTTATATAAGGCTGCTTGTTTAGTAAACAATGCCAAAATTTTATTTTTTTCAACCAGTCTAGTAAATCTGAGTGTTATCACCAATCTGAGTGTTATCTTAATCTTTGAAATATTTCAAACTTCCCTGTGTTTCTTGCACTTGTTAAACATTGGTAGTCAAGTTCCATAATTTATTTTTTATTAGTGGTTTTCATTACGAATGTTCAAGACAAAGGGATCCCCTTTGTGTAAAATGTACAGTTCTTAGAAGGCTCTCAGTGCTACTGGGGAGTATAGCCCTGCTGTTGGGAAGAAGGTCCAATACGTATCACTGACAAATTTGTATGTTCTTGGAAACAACACAGGCAAATCGTAAAATGGCTTTTAGTTGAAGTATTGAGACTGTGCAAATTAACTAAGAGGCTTGACTTGATTGAATGTTTCTTATTATTTGGTAATTATGTTAATACACTCTAATGGCTTTGTTTTCATGTGGCAACAAAGACTGTAGGTCTCTTATTGAAACAAAGAAGTCAAAGGAAGAAATTATCATCCATCTGTTAGCAGATAAATGTAAAAACTCCTTTTTCTTACCTCATCTTACATTGTGCTCTAGGGTTCATCCAGGAAGACTACCTCCGAGAGCTGCTGACGACAATGGGGGACAGGTTCACAGATGAAGAGGTAGATGAGCTGTACAGGGAGGCACCCATCGACAAAAAGGGGAATTTCAATTACACTGAATTCACGCGCATCCTGAAACATGGAGCAAAAGACAAGGATGACTGAGCAAGGCTCCTGATATCTGCAGATAATATCTACTTTACATTTATGTTTATTTTTGATGGTTTCTTCCTGATAGAACTTGTTGCATGCATTTAGCTTTACAGCTTTTGCCTTTCTCAATGTATTTATCTATTCCAGGCCATTTAGGCCTGTATAATCAGACTGGAAGGTGGGGGAAAATATTGTGAGGAAAAAGATACTACGGGGTCAAAGATCCCTGAACTTGATAGTCCAGGAAAATTATCTCACTGTTTCTGGTTTAGCTGGATTTTTACATTTTTGTAATAAATGCCATTTTGAAATAAAGATTGCTATATAGCTAAAATACCTCAAATTTGTGTGGTGGTTCTTGAGGATAGTTTGGCTTTAGCTTTGTGAGTATGTTAACTTGACAAAGAATACTCAGTATGCATACTTTTTTATTTATTTTATTCCTGGGTGGTTTCTTCCACTTCTGGGCTTAATTAAAATTAGGTTTTGGCCATTCTTTTCCCAATTTTGGATTTTATCTGCTGACTGGATTTTATCTGCTGACTGGAACTTTAGCCTAATTTTTCTCTTTCTCATATCCAGACTACGTTCTTTGCTATACTACTTCAGACTGCCACTCTGCTCCTTTTCTCAAAAGTTTGCTTTTAAACCATCTCGGGGCTTTTCAGTAGAGTTGCTGAGGTTATTTTTTCCATAGATTGCCTGCAAGGTTCTAGCAACAGCTAATCTTTTTTGGAAGATAGTTTACAAGTATGTATGGAAGTTGTCACCTATAGTGCCCATGTGACAAAGACAACAGGGTGGACATCTGGGAAACAGTGTCTTCTTGTAATGTTGCTAGGTAACATTAAGCTGAAGAACAGTGACACTGCCACTTCTTTAGACTGATCTGTCACATCTGTGCAATTCAACATTGTGTGCATGCAAGCAGCCTGCCCTAAGGAGGGATGTTATACTATCTTAATCATTTTTTCCCTTTGAATATCTAAACAGTGTAAGATTCAGAGGATTATTTTTGTTACGAACACTAGGTCCCCAAATCATTCTTCTCCTGATCCTGTTTTCTCAGTAAATTTTAGGCATTTATTTTATTTTAGCAGCAGACAAGCCAGCTGGATTTTTCTGGAAATAAGTTTTAAAGAAGTGATTTTTAAATCATAAATGAGTTATATGAAAGAGAATCTGGTATCCTCCTTGAGAGGAAATTGTCCACTTCAAAATCTTCTGTACTGCCTCAGTTTTTTATGAGCCAGCTGAAACATGGCACGTAGCTGCTTTATTCCTTGTCACACTGTGTGGGTGCTATGTTCTTGGCTGTTTTCTCTGAATTAGGGGCTCGGAACTGTATTAATGTAACAATACCTACTCAGGATGACACATTGAGAAAACTTCTAGGGATGTTCAGGTATAACTAATGATGACTTTGCACTTTCAGGTCTCCCCAGTATCTGTATCGTAGTGTAGGAGGCCAGTTAACCTGCAAGTGGGCACAAACCCCTTAACAGCTGGAAGGCTACACGATCTACAGACCCAGCCAAGAGACCATATAAGACCATCAGATGTGTTTAGTAGCTAGGCAGCAAGGAATGGCCAGACAGCTGCGGCTGCATGCCAAGGGCTGTAGAGATGTCATCAGTAATCCACTTCCAAAAATAACTTTGGTCACTGGAACAGCTTAAGATTCTGATGACTTAGACTTTGCATTTTGCAGTCAAAATCTTGGAAACTAATCTCTTTTCCCCTGGGGCTTGTATAGAATGGTCTCCAAGCTCCACACCAGACTAAGCTTATGATGAAAACCTATTTTCATAGGCTGATGCTTACATCTGCAGTGATATATAATGCCCTGTGAAGCACTATTGAAAAGTAGTGATTTATTTTACATGACCCATTTACCCTGCTCTAAGGCTGCATCCGCAAAGGTCACATTGAAGCCAAAGTGCTGAGCTACTGCAGCTGCATGAGAAACCTCTGCAGAGGACAACATCTGTGTGAGCTGCTGCCAGTACAAGCTTGCCTGCTGCCTCCTACCCACATGCCCTCCCCCCCACCGACTGTTGCTGGAGATACTGGTAATATGCAACATTTTAACCACTCAGGATATGCTTGTTTCTGCTCTTTACGCTGCATTTCAGCAAATAAAACCATCTTTTATCACACAGTGATCAGATGACTGAAGCATTTCACAAGATGAGGTCAGCTTAATAAACTAGCTCAGCAACTAACTGATGTCACAGAGGTGGTGTCCGGATGCTCTGAAGTAAGGCTCTGTTTCACCACTGACCTAAGAAGTATCTTTAGATGGCTTGTTTCTAGGATCACTATCATTTGCTGAGGAATGAAATGTAACACAGGCACAGGACATCAGTAACCGTAACACTATAGGCCTTTGTGTCCTGCCCAGTCCATTTGTTCCAAAAGCTGGAAAATACCTGAAATCTTGTCATCACATGTTTCTCACAGCCGTGGCCTTTTCTTGGCAGGAGTGTTATTAACCAATTATGTGGTATGTTCCTGGGGAACTTCAAACAGCAACAAATAGCTCTTTTACCATACTGAAAGGCATTCAGACAATGTAAGCCCAAATAACAGGTGAGTAACAAAGTAAAGTCAGGAATATTTTTGATATCAGCAGTTAATCCGCCATTGGTATTGCCCATGTACCTATGCTCCTATTTTTCAAACTCTACTGTCATTTTTAGATAACCTCCTCCTTCGGAAAAATGATTTAGGATGACAGTGGCTCAGAAATAGTATTACAGAAGCCAGGAACAATACAGAGGCAAAAAGAAATCAGCAAATCCTTTTCAAAACACAGCTTAAAAATAAGTTATCATGAAATATTGAAAAGCAAAACTGGAAAAAATGAATTCCACACAGCTCATATTTGTTGCACTCTGAGCAGCAGCTCCATAGAGAGATCACTGTTTTCCTAAACTTTTGATATATTAGATAAGAAACTTTTAATCTTAAAAAAAAGAAAAAAAAGAGAAAAAAGAAAAAAGAAAAAAAATTGCCAATTCTCCCACTTTTCTCTGCAGCCTGTGTGCCTGTACACATATCATCCCCTGGGACCACTCATTTCAAGTAGGAGCAAACTTGGGTGCTGTGAGCGAGGCACACAGGCTGCTGCAGTAGCATGTCCTTCGGGAATCCCTGCATTAGACCTTTAAAAAAATAACTTGTGTTGCAAATTTCAACAATATAGACACAAATGCTGCCAAGGAATCTTTCCCAGACCAAACATGTGATATTCCCTAGAGAACGGATCATACATAATAGATGTTGCATTCCAGGGCTTAAGGGGTCATGCAGTTTGTATGAATGTACTAAATCCGAGGGAAGATGTTTACGTGTTTCTCAGAAGCATGTAATTAACAGGAGAGCAGGAAATCGAACTCCCTCCTGGAAAATCCCACCCGCTTGCTGCATGCAGACTCCTCTGCTACACTGCCATGATTCGATCCCTTAGTAAACCAGCCTTGCACTTCAATAAAACTTGGAAGTCAGTTAGTTACAAACAAATACTACAAGACTAGGCAGGTAAAAACAAACTTTAATACATGTGCCTAAAGGAGCAGATGGTGTGTGACAGCAGCATTGATTTTAGCACTCTTGTCACTGCTCCATTTTGCAAGGTTTACTGAATCCTTAATTTGTAGTTTCCTCATTTTGACTATTTCAGGGTATCAGTGAGTACAACCTCACCAAATACTGAACTACGTTTTGTTTTTTTTCCTTATGAATGTCATGGGCATAGCTCCTTGGGAGTTAAAAGACAGCATTTCACAATAATTTCCAGACTCCGTCTGGCATAGTCAAGTGAGTGGGTGTAAAATGAGGCCTGCAGGCCCTGTCTTAGTATTTGCTAAAATAGAGCTGGCGTCATACATGAGTAACTTGAGCCTTGACTTAGCATTGTATCTAACAGACACTGGAGTTTTTTCCCCTCTATCGAATTCTTCTTCCTTAATTGTGAGCTAACCATCTCTAACGCAATAGGTTTTATACTGGCAACATGTTACCAGCCCACAAGAAGCATGTTGATTTTGAAATTTCTCCACCAGGCAACCAAACTCGCACAGGCATCAGCTAATAACAAAACCAGTAACAGCTTACTTTTTATGCCAAACACCTGACTAAATACCCAGAAAACGAGTGTATGTTTTACAATACCATTTTAGGCCTTCAGCCAAGCATTGAGCACATTTAGTCTTCTTCCTTATTTGTACATACACGTTGTCAGATGATAGATACAAAGGCTAATGTAACATGTGAGGAGAGGGCACACGTGTATGTCTTTAGGTTTAGCAGAATTAATTACATGTGTTTGGAAGTCTGGAGGCCTCACTTTCTTCTTACTAAGAATACCTTATCAACATTTATTTTTGCATTTCACTTATAAACATTGTGATATCATGCTGTCTGGCAATACTTGTGTTTAAAGCTATGTAAAAAGGGGAGAAAAACCCACGAAGATTTAGCTAAAATTATTGCAACTTACCAGCCCAGATAAAAAACAAGTGCTGGACATACAGCACAAGTGGCAGTACAGTGACTTCTTTATCATAGAGAACAGGTAGCAAGGGACAAAAACCTAGCAGAAATCAACAGCACAAGACATACTTTTCCAACTTTTTTTTTTTTTTTTAATTTATGTTCTTATATAGAAAGGACTTTGGACTTGGGATTGCAAAGAGCACCTTGTCTGCTGAGTCCGGTCCCTTGATACTCTATCCAACACATTTCAGTAACCATTCATACAGTGAATGAGCGGCAGATTAAAATAATTGGAGTTTTTTTTTCATCTTTTCCTGTTTTACAACACTTCAGAGACTGACTTTATTTTATTTATGTTCCATTATACTTCTCTGCTTTGTCCTTGGCCCTGACATATCATTGTCATAAGATGCTCTAGAGAACTTATGTTCTCACCTTTTCCTCGGCTACGCACACTAGAAGTTATCAGAAAGTCAAAACAGAGCTCCTTCTCATTTTCAATATGGAAAAAGAATATAACTGTCTTCTATAGGCTCCAGTACCTTCTCTAAGAGCCTTTATTTTTTGTGCTTTAGCATCTACATTGTGGCAGGGGCCACCTGGGAAAGCAGTAACTTACCATTTTTATTCATGAGGTCTTTGAATGAAAACAGGGACTTCCAGGGACTATCCCCAGCTGGTTAGAAGTCTTGCTCTGAGGCCCTCCAAGAAACCCAAATGAAGACATATGTTCAGAATCTGTTCTTTCACTCACGACTTTCTCAAATATTTTCCCTTTGGATCACAGCGCTGGAGCTATTTTTGGAGAAATTCCAGAACAATTCTGTG